TATAAATTTATCAGGTGACCGTTAAGGCCCATGGGCCTCTTGTTTCACTTTAATATCTTATTGATTTGGAATGTCTATAGCAATCAATGTTTGTTCAAGTTAATACTTAATTTTACAGTTGACTACTTGTTAAACAATGAAAGCCATTAATGGATTGATTAATTAAGTTTTAAATGATGTACTAGATATTATAACTCATCAATATAGCATCATGTCGGGTTAGATGAAACTGATCACATGACGGGGAAATAAAACATTGTGTCGCCCTCATGCTCAAGTTTCCCCGGTCATATTTTCCATATTCAAATTCTGTCTAGAAAATTGGGCAAAAACTACTGCACCCGAGTTTGGAGCTACTGAAGCTGATGACAATAAAGTTGTATTAATTTGACCATCTTAACTGTTGTGTTATTGTGAAATTCAGTATCACAGAACATTTATTGTCTTTATGATTTGAAAACATGACTGCTACCACAAGGGCATGTATAATGATAATTTCCTAAATCGGTAGATGAACGTAACTAAAACATGTGACCTCACTGTTATTTCCAGTGCCTGTTTGCCCATTCCCTGAGGAAGTTTTCCATGAGGGACTGGTCAATCGAACAGAAATGGATCTCCGTGTTGTTGCCTCTGCTTCTCCTCTATAACGGTAAGAGCTCTTCTCAGGACAAGAAGTGTCCAGGGGAATCGAAAAAAACTGACATAATTTCCTTATGATGATAAACAACCAAGTAATAACATTGTGGAAGTTAAATGATCTTTCTGTGAATTCTCAAAAACATTTTTAGTTCAGAGATTGTCATAATTTGTAAGATTGTTATAAAACACTGTATGAAATACTGTTGAATATTTTTACAGATTTTACAGGGGAAGAACCTATCTTGACATCCTTACGATATGTATATGAAATAAATGTCATGTAAAATCAAATTATTGAGTTATCTAAGCTTTGTTAATAACAATTTCTTCTCATGGACTGAAACCATTTTTGTAATTTACCAACTCTGTCTGTTTCCAGATCCGTTGTTCCCGATGACGTTCCTGGTAAACAGCTGGGTTCCTGGTATCCTTGATGGTGTGTTCCAGGCATCCTTCCTGTGCGGACTACTCATGTTTTGGCTGTGCATATACCATGGTGTCAGACAGGTACAAATTCAAGAGATTTCTGAAAGGAATATTGAGTCCTGGATTCAGCTAGCAAGTTTGGCTGGGACACAATGTTGATTTTTCTGCTAAATGTGATTAAGCGAGGTGTATGAACTATTGACTTTGTCGTGCAAAATTGTATACCCGCAACTTCGTACTGGAAACAAATCTAGTAAACAATACCAATACAACACACTCTGTACAGCAAGTGGTTTGAAGAGTCAAATCATGAAAAATTTCAACCATGAATTTGTGAAGCTAAGATATTCATACATTCACAGACATGCAATTGCGAACATGTACAGTCCAAAATATAAATGGTTATGTTCAATTTGAAGGTAATATGTTTCGATACACTTGTTGATACAATTTTGAGGGTCTGCATAAGTTTATGCATGTTTTGAAGGAGATCTATCTTTGTTAATCTGGTATAGGTGTACATGTACTGATGTCATGGTCATCACAATCCTTCTGATTTACCTTTGGCTTTAATTCCTTTGTTACAGACTGACCGGAGATTTGCCAAGTTTTACCTGCCGAAATTTATCATCGTAGGACTGATTTGGATCACAGCGGTCACTCTAGCTTCCTGGCAGGGCTACAATGAACTACAGGATCCTACGTACTACTACCGTCTGGACACGACCAACTTCATGGTATGTCCTGCAAACCATGTGTTTGACCCACAGGTCCAATACATCTATAGACTTAGGCAAACTTACTAAAATTATTGTTTGCTTATCACAAGTGATTTACAATAATTGTCAAATCGGTTTTTATTAAAACACCCAGAGAAGTTTTTAAAACTGTTGGTGTGTCTTGTGTTCAGATAAATTATCAGAAAGTGTTTATTATGGATTTTGAAAATTTGTCTCATATAAATCTGGTCAATATCTTCTTGCATTTTATAATACTTCATAAATCTGACTTTCATTTTTGCAGGGTTTCAAGATTTTCTTTTTCATCGTTGGCGGCCTATATCTGTTATACTTGCTATACCTGCTGGTCCGAGCTTACGCTGAGCTGCGATCCATGCCTTATTTTGGTAAGATATTTGTATAGAATGTTTTCAAAATACACTTTTGATTTTGTTACATTGACTTTGTATTCAATATGTACGTATCTACAAATTAGCCTAGCACACAAAAAGCTTGCATCCAGTCCCTGATAAAGGTGGGAAAATCATTTTCAGATGTTTCTTATTTTCTCTTTTGATCATTCTTGAGGAATACAGCATTTGACAGTGTTTGAACTCAGATGACCTGGTACAATGTATTTGGGAGATTGTCTCCTTGGGGTGAGGGCAATTTGTGTCGGACCTATAACCAGAGTCTGAAAAATACTGTTAATGTACTTAATATCTTAGTACACTAAAAGACTTAACATTGAAATTGTGACGTCTGTTTTGACAGATATCCGTCTGAAATTTATGACGTTGCTGATGCTGATAGTGCTGTCGATAAGCGTGACGATAACTGTGATGCGGTTTGGGGCAGCAGCCCTCCAGGACAACTTCGTGGCGGAGCTCTCTACAAACTACGAAAACTCCATTGAGTTCGTGTCGTTTTACGGTCTCCTGAATTTCTACATGTACACGATGGCATTTGTCTATTCACCTTCCAAAAATGCACAGTTTGGTAAGTATACAGTTCCAATATAGTAAAACAAGTGCATCAACATGTACAGAAAATGAAAATGAACAGTAACAGTTAACCCTTTTACCACTGTGGACCATAGTGGACTCGTCCAGATGAATGTATGGTAGAGTCTACTCAAGTTACT